ATGCTATTACTGGACATTTACACGAGGATGTACCTTGGTGTATTTTTTTTTGGCTGATGTTATCTTTCTTGTGGATAAGGCTAGAGAAAGAGTCCAGGGAAAAAATTAATTATGGAGGTCTACATTGGAGTCTAAAGGGCTTTGTTTGAGTAGATCTACAGATGAATACATGGTAATTGTAATTTTAGTAGTAGCAATAGTTCTAGTGGCAGAGTTATAACTATGGTTGATTGAATCGTCAAAAGGTGTGAATGTTTTAGATATCTCGGGTCTATTATTCAAAGTGATGGTGATATAGATGACAATATTATTAGTAGAATTCACATTGGTTGAAGTGGATGAATGCATCTAGTCTATTATGTGATAGAAAAGTACTACTTACATTCAAAGGAATGTTTTATAAGATGGTGGTGAGACCTGCAATATTCTATGATGCAAAATGTTGGCTTTTAAAGAGAAGCATAAAACAAAATTAAGCGTTGTTGAGATGAGAATGCTTAGGTGGATGAGTGACTTGACACTTAGAGACAAAATATGATATGAATATATTCGTGATAGAGTTGGTTTGGTTATATTAAACGCCGACCATTTGATAATCCTGTTATGAGAGTATATGTTTTAGATTTGACTTATGTTAAGAAAGACAGTGGTAGACATAAAATGACTTGGGACTTTTGTATAAAAAATGATCTTAACCTATTAGAATTAATAACCTATACATACTAAAATATTATAGTCAATAAGACACAATGGAGAAAAATGATTCATGTTGTTGACCCTACATAGTGGGATAAAGGGCTTGTTGTTATTGTTGTTGTTGTTGTTGTTGATGTTTTAAAAATTTTCTAGATCAAATGCATATTTCTAACATAAGTACTGGTGCCAATTGAAATGCGCAACTTTTCCTCGAAAAAAGATGATTGGGCTGTAAGCTATTTATTGATGTTGTACATGACGTCTGTTTGGGGCAGTTGCAGTTGTTTGAATAAACTGTTGTGAAATTGATTTAGAAGAAACAGTTGTTAAGAAGTCGTGGTGACTATTATAGTTTTTTTTTTCTTTTTTCAAAAAGTTTGGTTGTAGCTCTCTTGCAGCTACTCGACTTAGCTAAGTTAGGTTGTAAAACATAAATTTTTGACCATAGCTTCTTGAGAAAACAGAGTTGTTTCCACAAAAATGATTTCTCTTTAGCTTTGAATCCATTATTCTTTACTTGGTTCTTTGGGGTATATATTTTTATGGTTATTAGAATTAGCTTCTCTCTGTTACTTCCAATAATTTGGGCCCCAAGGGCAATTATGTTAGAGGCTAGTGTGCTCAAACAACGTAGTAAATATTTCTCCCAACTAACCCCACTGCTTAGTACAACACATGACAATTTGTTGGATGCTTTTTCACTTTGCCACTTGTATGGCTTACCATCCCTCAAAATAAAGCGGACTGTGCATCACACCATACCCAAACTCAGATGGAATTTGATGCAATAAACCTCTCAATGGATGTGATTAGATCTATGCATCTTATTCAACTTTCTGATAACATTAACTTATTTAATTAAGACCTTCTAATCACATGCAAATACAGCTTCATGCATTCTCAGTACCTCTCTTCAAAAATCTAATTAGACTCCTATATATTCGTGGTATTTACATACATATCACACAATTCTTTTATATTTACATATTTAACACAATTTCCTATATACGTGCATACCACTCAAATTTTTAGCATCACATCAAAATTCACTCTTGCTAACTTTATAAAAGTGATGTGCTTAAACCTGTAAAAAAAAAAAACGAAGAAAGAATTGTTATAATTGTAAATATAAAATCTTAATCATTGCATATGCAAAATATATAAAAATTGTGGTATTTATATATGTAAATTTACCTATATATCATTCTTGACCGGCTCACTTGGTGCGGTTAGCCGATCCAGATTGAAGAAAAATCTTTTCGTCGGTCCTGCCTTAAATTTAACCGCTCGAGTCAAGTTAAATCTTTTGCTTAAAAAATTGTAAATCATAAAAATTTTCAAGGAAGGGTGAAACTTGCATATTGACATTAAAATTTTTATCGACTTTTCCGTTGCATCATTTTTAATTTCATGGTTGATCGATTTTGATCGATCTATTCGCGAATTGAACTTGATGAGTTAATATGTTAAATTTAAGTAAATTTTGGGTCGACTCGTTAGTTCATGAGTAAGCTTGTTTAAAAGTATCAATATATCATATTATTAAAATGTTAGTCTGAAATAATTTTTATTATGTTTTGGTTTTTTATTCTGATTTTTATTATGTTTACTAATTTATCATAATAATTATTGTGTGGAACACATTTTCTCTCCATCACTATAACTGAGCTGGCTTCATAAGATTAAATTCAAATCAAATCAATTAAACAAATATTACTCGAATTTGGCTCTCAACATTTTAACTCCCCAATATGTGAGCTTTTGTGGTCACTATTTATATTTAATTTAAATCAAACTAATATTTATTTTCTTAATTGTTGTGTGCCATAAAATTTTTAACGTTACGAGCAATTATAAGATCTAAGTCCAATCAAAGTACTTCAATAGAAAATCTTGCAAGATGAGAATTCAAGCAAATTGGAGCCGGTTATGAAGGAGAAGACAGATTCCTTATCAGAGAATCAGACTTAAGAGCTAACATAACTTCCACTAGAGAATAAGACATTACACATATAGTGAGTGTACCGGGTGAAGACGGCTAAGTGAACCCTAAACCTTATATTATATAGGATGATGTTACAAGAAGATGATGGTTAAAAGAATAGTAATTGGCTATAATATCTGTAGTTGATTGTTATAATTGTCGTAGTTAGTTATAGTAATTTACTGGCGATGGTCAACAATAAGTTTTGGTAACTGGTGATGACCTCTTGGTGATTGGCAACGAATTTTGGTGACTTCAAAAGTTAAGCTTTAATAATCAACTCACTCCCTCCTCCCCCCTCCTCCCCTCTCATATGGCATATTCATAGTTTGTCATAGTGTCGTTTCATAAAATTGGCCAATCTGCCAAAGCATTTTATCCGACAGTCTGCATTGGTTTCCTTAAGTAGATGTAATTTCTTCAATCTTTGGGTGCTTTAAATATCATAATTTAATGCTTACTCATTGGATTCCTCTTTTGGGGCCACTTAATTTGATTGTAAACATGTCAAATATTAAAATCGTTTTGTCTTTCAATCGATGCATCAAAATATTTGCCTATATTTTTATTTGGGTTCATTTGAACTCAGATTGGATCACTTTTTACGTCATTAAGTAATTTTATCTAGATGGTCAGTTTGACTATAAACTTATTAAAATCAGGGTCTCAAATGATTATGAATTCGAATGTAGTCTATTTCTTACACAAAATACATCGAGATTCATATCCGATAAAAATTGCTTGATGCCCCCATCAAAAATAAATTCATTTATTGTCATAATTTGTGAAATAAATTCCTAGCTATAATACTACTGCACATCTGGCTAATCACAACCTATTTTAATAACCTCATATTTGGCTCTAATTATTTTTAAATATTATCATTTTAAAAAGAAATTACAAAAAATTAATTATAAAATTTGTACTGAATTTTTTTTGTATTGAATTTTATTTTTTAATCTCAACTTTTATTTCAAATTGTTTTACAACCGAAAATTTGAAATGCAAACTTAGAATATTATATAGCTTAGAAAAATTAGGGAATGAAATTCAACGTAATTTAACTTAATTTATGGGCAAACAAAATGTTAGGATGGAAGGGACTGCAACCTAGCCCAAATTAAACAATTGAGAAATATTTAAGTTTTTGGGACATTACAACAGCAACAACAACAACAAAGCCTTAATCCCAATACGTAGGGTCGGCTACATGAATCTTTTCTCTCCATTGCGTCATATTTAGTGTCGTATTTTCATTTAGTTCTAGTAAATTAAGATCATTTTTAATACAATAAGCCCAAGTCTTCCTAGGTCTACCTGTGCCTTTCTTAACACAAGTCGAATCTAAAACATCTACTCTTCTAATCGGATCATCAGATGGTCGATATTTAATGTGACCAAACCATCTAAGACGACTTTCTCTAATCTTGTCCGTCACATGAGCCTTGGTGTCATTGGCTCCTAGCTCGTGTCGGTCGATTCCTCCGTGCAACTTTGGTCTTTCCCCTCCCATCACTTAGATGGTGTTGTGGGTCTGACCACTTGTTGTGTCGAGGTTGTGCTACCTGATTGATCATGCCAGTAGTCATATGTTTTTCTCAAAGATTAAATCGTGCATGTGTAAGTATTTTGGGACATTAACTGAGAAATATTTAATCAAAGACATACACTTGTGGAGTTATTTTAATCGGGTGAGAAACTCTTATTTATGTATGAAAAGATATATTTTGTTATTTTAAATTCAAATAATGTTATTTTTATTGTGATGTAAGAGAATTAGATGATATAAATATAAAAAAAATGTAAAATTTTGATTTTAAATATCTAAACAAATATAAATTTGATTGTATGTATGTAATTGCCCCATTTATTCATTTTTAATTAAACTTTCAAAATTAAATTTAAAAAACATTTATAAATAAATTTTCATAAATAAAGTAGCAAGATTATTTTCTTAACATCCAAAATTAAAACTACAATCTGATCGCCAATATTATATTACACGTGTTATCGCCGACGCGTGATATAAAAGGTAACATCGATGTAACACTTTCTGCAACTGTAGTTGTTATGAAGCTTTAAAGACTAAATTACAGCCTTTGGATATTCTTAAGATTTGTGCGACGCGTAAAATTTTTACAATCCGATGGTCGTTAATTGTATATCCTTTTTCTCATAAATACGATAGACCTGCGATATAGCGACGGCGGCTGGCCTCTATCCACCTTCATTTCCATCTATTTCTCTCCTTATATCTCACCTTACATCTCCTCTCTCCCTCCTTCCTTTTCTCTCTCTCTTGCTTTCTCACTTGTCTCTCTCTTCTCTCTCTCTCTCTCTCCCTCTCTCTCTCCCTCGCGATTATAATCCACTGCTACTCTGCAACGATTCAGAATCTTGCAAAGGCTGATCGAGGTAGGAGGGAAGGGAGGTCGATGCATTTACTCTCCTGCTTGATTTCCAGGCTGCCAACTGCCAGCTGGTCTCTTTCGCTGCCCCAATCTCGAACGCTAGAGTTTCTCTCTGCGTTCTAGGGTTACTGCGACTTCGTCTCTTGGATTGGTATTTTTTTTTTTTTTGCGTCGATGGACATCGAGAGGTATGGAAATAGGAGGATTCAAAGTAGAATTGGGTCTCAGGCGGCACCTGATCGAGCCAATAACAAGGTCTGTTACCACTGGAGGGCGGGGAGGTGCCACCGCCACCCTTGTCCGTATCTTCATAGCGAGCTTCCGGAGCATTCTGATGGCGGCGCCAAGCGGGCGGCTGTGGCTGATGAAAGGGGCTTCCGTTCTCAGGGCCTCGTTTGGAGAAATCCTAATACGAATGGGAATTCTGGTCCCCATTCAAAGTGGGGCAAGGGCCGCGGAGGGGGCGCTGTTGGTGGCGTCAGACCTCAGCGCAAGGCACTGGATACGATCTGCAGTTATTTTATCTTGGGTACTTGTTCTTATGGAGAGAGTTGCAGGTATTTACATTCTTGGTTCCTCAGCGACAGCATCGCTCTCTTGACTCCCCTAAAAGGTCACCAAAAGGTAATTTTCATCGCCCGAATGAGCATTTCAGCATATTGCATACACGTTGCTAAATGTTTTGAGGTGCTTTCTGTGGTTTAAACTATGTCTTTTTGCAGGATGTCACCGGAATTGCCTTTCCAGCAGCGTCTGATAAGCTTTATACAGGGAGCAAAGATGAATCCCTTCGGATTTGGGATTGTCAGACTGGGCAGGTTCTTCTCAGTCGCTTCTCACTATCATCTGTATATTGGATATGAAAATTAAACATTTCAAAATGTTTTCTTGATAGTGTGTCGGGGTTGTGAATTTGGGTGGTGATGTTGGCTGCATGATCAGTGAGGGTCCATGGATTTTTGTTGGAGTTCCTAATGCCATTAAGGTTAGATTATTAAAATGATTCAATTGAAGTCATTTTTTGTTCTCATTGTTTCTGTGTAGGCTAAGTTTTCTTTTTTGTTTTGCGAACCTTTTTGCCTGGTAATTAAGCAGGCATGGAATACGCAAACTGGCACTGATCTAAGCCTTAGCGGGCCTATTGGACAAGTTTATGCGATGTCAGTCGGTAATGAGATGTTATTTGCTGGAACACAGGTACATAGTCATCCACTGCTAAGTGAGATTTTCTCAATTCGCTACATTTCCTTGCACAGGTCATGATTTTGCTTGTTATCTATCTCAGAAAGAGAAATGAGGAATCCTTATCTTTATCCTCTCGTTTTTGCTTTTCCCTTTTTTGTAGGATGGACGTATATTGGCATGGCGGTTTAGAGCTGCTGGGGACTGTTTTGAACCAGCTGCATCTCTTGTAGGTCATCAGCTTCCTGTTGTTTCACTAGTTGTTGGAGCAATGAGACTCTACTCTGGTTCCATGGATCATACAATAAGAGTAAGTTTAATGATTTTATAACTAAACCTTAGCCCGCAGTTATAAGGTAAAATGTTTTATTGCATAACTTTCTTGGAGGCTGGAAGCACGGGAAATTTAACTTGGACATAAAATCTTCTTTTAATTTTTTATCATTTTATTTGAGGCGATTCATTTTTCTTAGAAGTGATATTATTGGTATAAATCTCATTGAAATACTTTATGTTTATTTTTCTTTTAATTGGATAGTCTAGCAGTGCAACCTCTACCAAAACTTAAAGCCATACCTTGCATTAACAGGCCGTTCTATCTATATGTGTCAATCAGGAATGACGGAGATTAGACAACTAAATTAGGAGTTTTCTATAATATGAGCTTTCTTATTTCCAATATATTTATGCTGATTTATTTCTCTTTTAGCTGAATATTTAGATTACTTTATGCTGATTTATTTCTCTTTTAGCTGAATTTTTAGATTAGGAATATGTATTATTAACTTACCTAAAATAGATTATACAAAATATTTTGTACCTGAAATAGATTGTAAGATTAATATTTAATGGAATGAAAGCAAAGGGAAAATGTATCGAGCCTATTCAAAATTCAGCCTATTTTTCTCATAACTTTGACATGGTATTAGAGTCAAATTTTTGCCCTAACCACCAATAGTCGTTGGAGGACCGTCAAGACTCTCTTCCCGCCCTCTTGCGGGAAGGGAGGAACTATTTCTTCGCCTTCGATTCTTCTTCTACTGCTTATTCCCGGGCTGTTTTGTCCTCCTTCGTTTGCGTCGTCCTGTTTCGATCTTCGAATTGTGGTTAATTTTTCAGCTACAAATAAAGCTCCCTCATATGCCCTCTAAGCTTCGTCCTTCGTCTTTTTTAGGAGCCTTTCTATAAAGGTTCTGCGACTGCTTGTTGTCTCTCACGGAATCAAAGTACGATCAATGGCTGATTGGAACCAACACCTGAGAGAACCCAGACATCGTATTTTCTTGTTATTTTTGCTTCTTTTGTATTCATTTGATCGATAAAAGTGTTTTGGATTGGACTGCGATTGGCGTTGCAGATCCAGGGGGATGCGGAGCGTAAGGCCGGATCCGACGGATAAGGATGCAAAGCCATTTGAGGTGGATCCGACAGACAAGGACACAAAGCCATTTGAGGTGGATCCAACCGGGAGATATGGACGATACAGGGATCTTCTAAGTACTAGCGCAACAAAGAAGGTCTACACGCGAAGAGATGGAACTTATTATGATGCAAAATGCGTTCATTATGGAATACAAGGATTCTTGGGTTGAAAAAGGGTTGTTATGTTTGTATTATTATTCGTTCAATTCGAATCTTTTTTGCTAGGCATCGCTGCTTCTTTCTGGATCGATGGCTTCGACTTCGACAAACCATAGATCTTAGGCTTCAGCATTCACGGCTTCGACACTCTCGGCTTCGACACTCTCAGACTTACTCTTAGGCTTCGACACTCTCAGACTTCAGCACTCTCAGGCTTCGACACTCTAAGACTAAAACACTCTTAGGCTTCGACATTCTCGGCTTCAACACTTTCGGCTTCGGCACTCACGACTTGAGGGTTTTTTGTCCTGACAGTGTTATCATTTTCTTGTTGGCAAATTAATGATTTCTGATCAGTCAACATCAATTTGAGAGGGGATGTCAATCAGGAAGGACGGAAATGAAGGACGGAAATCAGACAAGGACGGAAATCAGACAACTAAATTAAGAGTTTTCTATAATTAGCAGATTCCTTATTTTCAATATCTTTTTTCTGATTTATTTTCCTTTTAGCTGAATATTTAGATTAGGAATATGTATTATTAAGTTACATAAAATAGATTATACAAAATATTTTGTACCTAAATATTTTGTACCTAAAATTGTAAGATTATTATTTAATAGAATGAAAGCAAAGGGAAAAGGTATCGGCCTAATTTTCTCAAAACTTTGACAGTATGTGCACCTGTTTAGACTAGCAACCTTTTTTTTTCATTTAAACAAAAGGGAAGCCTTCTTGCGATGTCTAATTTTATTCTCACCATATCATCTAATTACATCGACAAACTGATTTGTTATTATGGTTATATTTTAGTTTAAATTAAATTTTAGGTGCATATCAAATTTGGAAAGTTTATTCTAAGCTAAAGCCGAGACATGCAGAACTTTATCAAACGTGAATTCTATAATTTTCTCATTTTCTTGCAATAGTTTTCCTCATTGAAATGTGATGGTTCAATTTAGGTGCGTTACATGTCCCTCGCAAATTTGTTTGAAGAAACTTATATTTGAAATTTCATGCATCACAAACATCCATTCAGTTGCTTGTGAATGACACCCTGAATTGTAAACTTAGGGAAATAAGTTTCTTTTTGATGTTTTGTTAGTGAAATTTTTTCCTATTTGGCAGTGCATTGCTTGTGGTTGTCTTTCCCAAACTTTACATACAATTTTTATTTGTATGGTGAATATATCACTAAATATGTTCAAAGAAGCTTATTTCGAAACTTTTGAGAATATGTTTTTGACTTTCATGCACCACAAGGTCCAATTCTTTGCCTTTAAATGACACCTTGAATGATGAACTAGAGGAAATAAGATTCTTTTTAGGTGTTTTGTTTGTAAATTTTTTGTCCTGTTTAGGTAGTACATTGATTATATTTTTCTTTAACAAACTATCCATACTACAATTTTAATTTGCGTGGTGAATACAACAGCTGAGTCACCACTTGTCAGTTTGGATCGGTACAGGTTAATGTTCATCTTTTTGAGAGTAAAAATGATTTCTGTATATTGCAACATGCACAGCATTGCCACATGAAGTCAAGTTGGAAATTATTTCAAAGTCCTAAAATATGTTAGGATTTTTGTCTGCTTGTTTGTACAAAGTAATTTCATTTGTGTGCCTCTTTGGTCGCTCACTGGAAATCAAACTAATCTATGCAACACAAAACTCTTTTTCTAAACTTCTGATAATAAAATATGACATGGCTTTTAAAGTGTGATGTGTCTAGAGGTATCCCTATTGCTCTCATTTGGTTATTGCTATGGGACCTTTGATGGTTAGCAGTTTGGCCATACTAATATTAGGGGGCATTCACATACATGGCACACAGTTTTCGTGTATTTACATATCTCACACCTAAGCTTCATATTTACACACATAATATTCAAATCTTTATTATCACATGAAAAATAGCTCTATTATCACTTTTTAAAAATGAAATTCACATTTCATGCATATGTTTAAAACACCAAAGTGCTATGCATGTAAACATGAAAGCTTAAGTGTAAGATATGTAAATACATAAGAATTGTGGGCTACGCATGTAAATTTCCCTAAATTATATTGTTTATTTGTTTCTATTAATACTTGTATTGTGCTGCTTCCTATTATTCATGCTTGATATTGGAAAAATATTCGTGTCTTTCATTTGTTCCCTTTAGAACAATCATTTTTCATCAGCCTTTACCATTGCTTTTTTTTTTTTTCATAAAATATGAGATTATGATTCGCTGTTTTTTCACATATTGGGTTGAATGACAGTCTGTTGACCCTGATATGTTAGACCCATTAATGTTGGGTCATCCATCCCGGATATGAAATGTGAATGTGTATCTTCCATAGATATGGTATGTGTGCTTGTAGCTAAACAGTGCACAGATCTTTGTTTCCATATCCATTCAGAATATTTGATTACTAAACCTGTCTACTGGATGTCAGAAATTATCATAATCTGAAGTTTAGTCACTTGTTAGAGTTTCTTTTCTGTTCTCTAGAGAAATGTCCTTAGTTTGTGGTTTTTCATGTGCTTAGGTTTGGGACCTTTCAACTTTACAATGCATCCAGACACTGACCGACCATACATCAGTTGTCATGTCTGTATTATGCTGGGATCAATTTTTGTTATCCTGTTCACTAGATAAGACGATAAAGGTCAGTTTCTGACATGAAAAGTGATACTCTGGTAATTCATAAAATCAACATCTCAATTCTTTACTGTCGATTTCAGGTTTGGGTAGCTACAGAAAGTGGTAAACTGGAAGTAACCTACACCCACCAAGAAGAGCACGTAAGTGATCCTTATTGCTGATGATCTATTTTTTGAAGTGTTGAGTAGCCATACAAAGAAGTAATTTTTTTCTATGATGTTTTTGGCCTTTAAACAATTCTTGTTGCATTATTAGTCTTTTTGTGGATGAAGTGCTATATAATTTTTTTACAGCGTTTCTGCTGTTACTGTGAGATATGTTAATTGTTTGGGAATCTGATACTAGCAACTAAAGACATTGTGCATTGTAGCATTGTATTTTGTCGTCACTATTGTTGTAAACAAACTACAATACTCAAAATGTAGGAGCCACCTCAAGCCCCCCTGTCCCATCTCTTGGAGTTGTTAGCCTTTATGTGTATAGGATTTGTTCTGATTATGTAGGCATATTGGAAATTCTTTCCTCATGTGAAGGGCTGTTCCCCAACAACAATGCTTTAACCCTCTACTCAGCTGCCTTCTCCAAACCCACTGCCTCAGCCTTGCTGCCCCCTCCTATTAGATGCTAGACCACCACCTCCCTGCATTCCCCTGCAGAAGTGTCACACCACTTCCTCCTTTTCTACACCTCCAAGCATCTGTGCAGCACCTCCAGTTTTACTACTTGTTTTCTTTTAGCTTTTGTTTTTGTATATACTCTTCAAACAACAGAAAAAATGTTCAAAATTAAAAGAAAGCTTTTGTACTTTTCAGTGCAAGACATTTGTGTTGCAATGCCTTATTTAGCAAATTTATTTTCTTCATTTGAGCTAGTTAGACTCAACTTTATTTTATGTAATATTGAATTTGTGCTGAGGAGTAGTTTCAAGTCAACTTGAAATCACTTTGAGTTTGTTTGGAATTGATGGTTGGAATTTATGGATTTCCTTTTAAGCTGGCTTAACCCAATGTTTTAATCAATTTTGTGCAAATTTGAAGTCATGCAGATGATTAAGATTTGGAGTTCGAATGTTTTGGGATTTTTCAACTCTACCTATAAGTAATCTTAAAAGAATGTCCCTCAACCTGGAGCAATGAATGCATATTGTAGTCTTTAACTTTATTCGGCATGGGAACTTCCACAGCAGTTTATCAAGATTTTAAAGTTCATTGGTTTTTTATTTGGAGTAAAACTAGTAGATGAATGCCATGGTGTCTTCAGATTGGTTTGAAGTGATTTCAAAGTGCATTCTCTTCGATTCAAGTAAAAAAAATACAGTACTTCCAACTGCATGGATTTATTCAGCTTGTTTGACTGTCATTTTTGGTTGGTCGTTTGTCAGCTGTCAGATATCTTGTTTATAATGAAGACTCGTTTAGTTAAAGCCCTTTCAAGTTTTTGCAGGTGTAAGTTTGCTGATTTTCATTAGTCAAAAGAATACTAAAACTTGCATCGTGTAAAGTAGACATGATATGACTAAATTGAATTCCATATTTTCTGTTTCACTCAAAATTAAAAAAAAAATCTGCTAAGTACTATAGTACACCAAAATTCATATAGAATAGTTAGATTTTATTTGGTTTTGGTTTTTACCTATTGAATATCATAATTTTGTACTTATTGCTTCTGGAAGTAATGCAAAACTAGAGAAATCATTCTAATTGTTTAAGAAAGTTGAGCACTGCAGTGGCAATCTAAAGCTCATCATGCATTAGGTTATCTTATGATATATTTAATAGTAATCTCATCGCCTTCCCTATTCACTTTAAAATTTGTCTTTATTGATGTTCGATGACTTTTCAATATTGTTGTGTTTTTGGAACAATTATTTTTAACATAATCTTCTTACATTTTCTTATCAATACCTTCTTGTTAATGATCTTGACGTCTAGTTAGTGGTAAAAGTAGGCAGTACCATTCAAACTAGAAGGCACATTGCTTCTTTACTATATGTGTGAATTACACTCGCTTGGTTGAAATATCTTCGTTTTAGATTGATGAAAATCTATCACAAGTCAACCAGGATCAGAGATTTTGTACATTCAAAAATTGATTGATTTTGAACATTTTACACTCTCATGTTTTATGAAAACTAGGTGAGGAGCTGAATATTCTGCAAAGTTGGTTAACTGGAGATTGCTACTTGATGCGAAGTGGGGAGTAAATATTAGGATTCAGTCAAAAGCACGTGCCAAGTCTTCATCATAGTTTTGATCAGTTGGTCAAAATATGGATTAGGATTCATGGAAGAATTGCAACCAGTTTTTTTAAGATAATTCGAACTCTTTCACGAGAAGTTTGGTTTGCTCTGATTATTTATTCTAAAATCTTTGAAAAGGCTAACAAGGCTGCATGACTTCGATTTTTTTTATTTTTATTTTTTTGTTCAAATTTGAAGACAGTTGGCACCAAGGTTCTTTCCTGCAATCTGCCTAAGATCTATGATCTGTTGGTCTATTGATTAGGGGCAGACCACCTGCTCTGATGAAACTGCAAGCTCCTCATCCTGACTATGTGCAAACTGAAAATAAAATGCAAAATTTTAGCTATATTTTGATAAATTTGCAGCTTGGATTGGTGTTACCTCTGTTGTGATGTGGAGATATGGGCTTGAGTCATGAAATAATCTCTCTAATCTTTGGGTAGTTCTGCACGCTTTAATCCCTTTCTAAACCCTGCACAGACAGCATGCTTGCCCATAGGTTTATTTTATTCGTTTGAGCAGTTTTCCCTTGCTCTGATGATGGTCTTTCTCGAGTCCTTTTATTTCTTGAGGATTGAATTACGGAAACTAGAAAAGCATTTTGTCCGGTGCTTTTATGGCAACATGAAGTTTCTTTGCAAGGAAATGGATATTTTTTGTTGACGTATCAAATAAATTCTGTTTGGGTCTTTCCTGGTGTTATCTTGACGTTTGATTTCCTTCTATTTAAATTTAATGTGCGCTTTTCTGACAGAAGTCTAAGATACTTCTCCAGAACGCTGTTTGTGTTGGTCAACATAGGACCCGGTAAGGTTAGGACTGTATTTGTAACGAATTTAGATATATTTTACCTTTTATGAAAAAATGTAGATATGCTATTTGAAACTTCAATATCAGAAGTACTGTTTGCATTGGCCAAGTTCTTAGACATGCAAATTTAGTACAAATGCTAATTGTGCTAGTTTACTGTCCATTTGCTTAATTTCACATTATTTGAGGAGTGGAGTTAGCTCTAATAATACTTGTTTCTTAAGTATTAAGTGGAGTTAGCTATAGTAAGATTTTAGGTGTAGATGAGGTATTTATGAAATTTTTAAAGTTATAGGGCATATTGTAGTGATTTGATTAACAAATTTTTTAATAGTATTTTGAAAACTAAGAGGATGACAAATAATTAGAGAAGCAGTGATATAAATATATAAGAGCAAAATAGAATTTAATTATTTTGCTAACTATAGAGGAATTAAGTTTATTGGTCATGTAATGAAACTATGGTAGTTGTAATGAAATAGTGGCTTACAAAAAAATAGATGAATTTTAGAAAACCAAGTTGTTTTCATGCATGAAATTTCTAAAGAATTTTTTATGTGTTTTTATTGATCTTGTAAAAGCGTATGATTGGATATCATAGAAATTAATTGATATGTTTTAAGACAAAAGATTATGTCAAGGATAGAGGAAATAACTAAAATGGTTCCGCTAACTATTCTTGATAGGCCATTCTAGTCCTAAACCATGTAAAATAATTGATTTAGTTCTATAGCACTTTAAAAAGGGAACAAAACAGTCATGTCATCTAAATTAATTGAAATTGAGGTTAACAATGTTAAAAATGAGGGTATTTTAGAGAAATATATTTTTTTCCTTCAATTTTTAATTAAATCTAATTTTATACTTATCTTATTTCCTCATGGATTTTGATCATACAATTTGCGGAGGAAGAGTTTTTATAATTTTTTTTTTTGACATTTTTGTTACCTTGGTTCCATTATAACAAAAAATTAAACTCACTATTTTTCATTATAATGGAGTTAAGATAACAAAAGTGTCAAAAAATTATTTACTATAAAAATTCAACGTATTATATAATTTTCATGATCTTTTATTCATGCTTCTTGTATGTAAAATTAGTTGTCATACATGAGGAATACAACAACTGTGAAATTAGATTTTACCAGAAAGTTCAAGAAGAAAAATTTTTCTGAAGATAAATCTTTAACTTGATAAACTTTAATTTATATTAGTTTAGATAACAGGACTATTTTGGTCTCTGTCTAAAGACTCCGAGGACTAAATTAGATTTCTTACATAGTCTAGGACTATAAGAGCCCCTCAGATTCATTTATTGTTTCAGTTTTGGTCTCGTTAAAGATATATTGATGTTATCAAAGATATGTATTAAGGAGCATTACTTCATATCATACGTAGTTATAGAATCACTTGAGAGTTTTTAATTACTTTAAATTTATTTTAATGATCAATATTGAGTTAATATCATTTTGTGTTAATTATGTGGATGCTTTCATGAGCTATTCAAAATGAAGTCCTTGGTGCAATCTTTTTATATTTGATGTTGTTCAAACTTGTGTGATATCTTTTACTATTTTAGATCTATTTTACATAAGGGTAGAAATCAATTAGAACAACTTTTAGATGATTAAAATTGAGAATCGCCCTTGGAGTTTTGTATCATGGGAACATATTATTGAGGCTTAAAAAATTATAAAATTGCCATTAGGCTATTGATATTATATAGATTCTAATGTTGAGCTATAAATAAATCGTTGATTTCTAACTTTTTTGTGGCAGAATGAGAATGCTGAAATGAATGCATTAATAGAAGTTGATTGAAAATAGATTTATATGATTTGGATCTGTACAACCAAGATTTGAAAATGCCCCCATTTGATGGGTTGATAAAAATGTATAATGATTAAGAACGAAATTAGATAAATCTGAAATAGTTGTGATATGACCAATGATGTCAAACTGATTTGTGAACGATAGGTTTAAAACCTTTGACAACACTCTATCTGAATGAATGAAAAATGATAATGTATAACGATAACTTGAAATAGCTGGGATAAGGTTAATGGTGATGATGTTTGTATGGTTGGGGTCTTTGCTAGGTATTACTCAAATTGCTTTTTTAATTGTTTTATAGATCAGTTTGATCCTTTAAACAAAATTTTAGTTTACTTTTTTGTTCCACCCTTGGATATTTTTTGAACATGATCAATATGTGCTTCTTTCAAACTAGTATGCTTTGCATTGAAATTTTGGTATTGTGCTTGGGAAATGGGAGCGAACTCTCTTCATGAAACCCTTCCTGAAAGGCTGGTATGTTTGGTTTTTTAGAATTATCTCAACCAATTCACCTCCGTAGTTATACTCTTTAAATATAAGTAGCAATGTCAATACGGGGTTCATGGATTGGAAAGGCGCTTCTAGTGTGCTTTGCAATTTTTAGTGCATTAATAGGTTCAAAGAATGTTCCAAAAATATTGTCAGACTGTTTAATTATGCATCGTTATACATCAGTTCTTGGGTTAATCTGAGCTAAGCATGATAAATGTTGTGGGATTGTATTTAGTTGTCTAAAGAAAATGTTTATGTAGTTAAAGAAGGATTGAAAAGTACTATGTGAGAGCGATACTGAAGACTACATTTGTCATAATTGTTTGGAGTGTTACTAGGTGGGACAATTAACTGTCACTTGATTTGAGTAATGCAGAAATATTGTTCTGTGAAAAGGTTTTAGAATTAAAATGGTTATAAGAAATACAAATATTTAACAAAACAATATGAAATAGTGATGCTTATGTGATGTACATTCAAATATTTTTATTCTTTTACATAAATAATTGAGCATAAAAAATAATGCAACGTTTTGGATCAGGGCTAGACATTGACGAGGCTCACGTAATGCTCTGTGATAAATTTATATTATGATACTAATGCATTGATCTTTGATTGGTGGATGTTAAACTAGGCAAAAAAATTCCAAATTGATGCTGCCAATTTTCAATTCAAAGTGGACCGGTGCAGTGTATTTGGTTGTGCGGTAAGGTTATACAAATTTGAGGAGATGGTTTTTGTGTGTAAAGTTAACGTCAGGATTCCAAATTTAGAAATGGAAGGGCTCAGAATTGAAAAGATTCACATTATTGTTATTTGGCATTTATTGATCGGGTCATTTTCTTGCCGGATACATACTTGTGTGAAGCAAACCTTTGGTTTCATAAAAAAGAAAGAGGCCGAAAGAGAAATGTCGCATTTTTAACCTAAAGTGATTCTTATTTATATCTGAATTAAGTCATTGTGGTTGGTTTTGGTCCAAAGTATTGAGCTTTTATTCTTTTAGAATATTAGTGGAATCATTTAGTGGTGCAAACAAACCTGTTGCGGATCAACTATACCATCTCATAATTCAAATATTATGACTGAAAAGTCAGCGTAATAATTATATATCTAGAAACATAAGCTAGTAATAATATTATGACTTAACATTTCAGTCATAAGCTTCATCGATATCCCAAGCTAATATGAAGTAGGTTGGTTCTGTGTTTCAATTGCAAACAATTTAGATACATTTGTGTTTTGATGGTTGTGCAGTAGTATAAGTTGTTATTGCCTCTTGAATTTCCTACTATATATATATTATCATGAAATTTTACTTTTATTCAATTTTAGTGAAATTGTTAGCCATTGTAGAACCTAATGTTAGCACACTATTTTCCTCTTTATGTTCAATTTAGTGAGTTTTTTTTTTTTTCAATTCTGATGTTCTTACAATGTCTTATGAGATTAGTTCTCGTAGTAAGTGCCCAACTAATTTATATGTGGCTAATTTAGCCTTAGAGTATCACTTTTATTTAATAAGCCGGCCATCATTTTTATCAGTTTTATATAACTGATGGATTAGCTAATAGAAATGTGATACTCCTAGGTTAAATTGTTCGCACAAATAATGGATGGACTATTCTAGTGTTTAATCCATACTTTGTGGATGGTTTCATATCATTGCAAGTTCTATTATTTTATTTAAAAACATTCAGATTAACCAGCTGTAATTTATCATCTGATTTGTCTCAGGGTGTGCTTGCATTGTGCGGTATGCATGATGCACAAGCCAAACCAGTCTTGTTTTGCTCTTGTAATGACAACACTGTTCGCCTTTATGATCTTCCATCGTAAGTATATGATCATGATTTATGATCAATACAGTACTGTTATTATAATTATGGGGTGTTTACATGCATACCTCTCATTTCCTATGAATTTATGTATCTAACCCTAAAATTTAGCTTTTACATTTAGACCACCCAAATCTTTCATATCACATGAAAAATACTCTTGTATGTTTGTTGTGCATACGTAAGAATTGAGTGGTATGTATGTAAACTTTCAGCAAACTTTTATTTAAAATATGTATTCTCCTCTTTTTTCGTCAGATTCAATGAGAGGGGTAAGATATTTTCCAAGGAAGAAGTGAGAGCGATACAGATTGGCCCCGGCGGGCTGTTCTTCACCGGAGACGGCAGTGGGGAGCTCAAGGTGTGGAAGTGGTTGACAAGTGAGGTTTCAGCTGCTGGACAATAAAGAAAAAATGAGACTCTCAACTCATTTGTAATCATATATTTCCTTTTCTTATTTTTATGCGGATATATTGAATTTTGATGGAGGAGAGATGCAAAGGAAGCAGATTTTAGTGGTCCATATTGTAATTTGGTTTAGCTGTGTTCTTCCATATTGTAAGCCCGAAGCATATAAATATATATATATATTCCAAATAATGAACCTTTTTTAGGAAGATTTACAAATGTACCACTCAATTCCTATGTGTTCACATATGTAAAACATATAGAACATAGATTTATATATATATGTCACCTTATGTAAAAGTTAAAATAGTGATATTTTGATGTGATATGAAAGATTCGTATGGTATAAATGTAAAAAATAAAGTTTCAGGTGTTAGATTTATAAATACATAGGAACTGGGTGACATGTATGTGAAATGTATTTATTTATTTATTTATTTTTTTTTTTTTTTGATGTATTATCATTTTTTATCTAAACCAACCAATCATTATGTTAGATGAGCTGCGCAAATGGCAATAATGGTTTACAGAAATAAGAGTGTGAGCTTTTATTTATTTATTTATTTTTTTTGTGTAATTTTCTGATTTTATTTTGTAAATGTTTTCGTTTAAAAAATATGTGAAGTTCATTGTAGGGGTTTATACAACACCTGTTGGCATAGTGTTCTCCTCCTTTTAACCACTGTTTTAATGGGTTGTGAAAATGGGCTTGGATATGAGCTGGAAGAGAAGAAGTAAATGTTTATGGTTCAATGGTTGAAATTAAAGTTAAACAATAATTAAACATATTCTTATCCTTTTAATGAGTTTTTTTATATATATTTATGATTTTTAATCAAGATTGTGAAAATTGGTTGAATGTTGAAGTAGAAGTAAATTTTTATGGTTCAATGGTTGAAATGAAAGTTAAATCGGATCGCATAATAAATATTTGAATTATTTTATATAATTTAAATAATTAAATAATGATATATTAATATTTATTTTGTTGATCCAATAAATAATATTTTAATTTAAGATAATTCTCTTCAATATTTTTAATAATATTTAAAATAGAATTTTTAGATATGATGCTTTATCATTTATTTAATTTAAATATTTTCATTTTGGCTATCTCATCAAAATAAAAGGTTAAAATTGAATAATGTTTGAACCTGTTGGTTTTTTAAAAACATGAAGAGTTCATCAGTTCAACGTTTGTTTTGATTGATTCAATCGAGTGCTATGCATAAACGGTTTTAAGCATGAATGGAACTAGGTACGGTTGAACCGGCCGAACAGCTGGTACGATTCGGCTTTTTAAACCATGGTTATAATCATTAAATATGAACAACCACAAAATTATGAAAATATTTCTTTTAATGAAGGTTTATGATATTATAATTTTTATATGTATTAAATTATCGTTTAGCATTTTAACCTGCTAAATCAAACATAGGAAATTGCTCGCTTCGATTAAATAATAGAGAAATCGTATGACTTAAAAACTTTGACTATAAGTTTATCGTGTTTTCAAGATATATCTATATATGATATTATTAAAAAGTGAGATAATATCAGCTTTATAAATAAATCCAATCTACAACTCACTTTATGAAATTAGCTCAGTTACACATGACATCAGATTTCACAATAGGATAAGGCAGATAGAAGCAACAAACCCTCACAGCCACATAATCTATTACTTGAATCCAAAACCAAAAACCTTACCTTTCAATTTCCCTCCCAAACAAAATGCTTAGCAAAACCCCCTCATACAACCTCCCAATATCCCACCCCTTACCTTTCAATTTCCCTCCCATGCTTTGCAAAACCCCCTCATACAACCTCCCAATATCCCACCATCCATCCCCCCCAACTCTCAACTGCAGCTACAGGCCTCACTCCGCAAGCAGCCATGAGACCCACCATATCACAGCCACACAATCCTCTTCCCAACCCACCACCCTCTTCAACATCAGGTTCCAAACTCTGGAAGCCTGCAGGCTTGGGATAGGCAGATACCCCGACTTTGACTACAATGCCAATGGCGGCACCAGCACCGGCACCGGCATCGGTTCGGCCGCCGGCAACTTCGATGCACCAGACAAAATATCCACCATTTTCGACATCGAAAAGCTTTACATCCCGCCGTTGACCGGCGCAACGACGAGGTTTCTCGGCCTGCCGTTGCCGCCGCTCCTCAAGATTGACATTGCTCCTGAGATATTTCAAGGGAGTATCAGTAGATCTAGTGGAAAGGTAGGCTTTTTTTTAAACTCATTTTGATGACAATTTTGGGCAGATGTTTATAATTTTTTAGGACTTGATGACCCGAGTGCAGGTGGAGCTGCATTTCAGAGCCAAATTCTGGTTTTCGATTGGGAGCGTTTATAGGGCGCCGCCATTGATGGTTGAGACTGTGCTGACTTCAGAGGAATCGAAGGGGGGATTGAGAGGGGGGAAAGGGGAGAGGTTGGATGAAGAAGGCAAGTGCAGGTTGGTGGGAGTGGCGACTGTGGATCCCATTGAGGATTCTATAATGAATGCCTTTCTTAGTCTTCCGACCGAATGCATTGCTGAAATTAATGCTCAGATTTTCATGACAGCTGCTAGCTAAAACCTGTTTCTGTCATGCAGACAAAGGTGTTGTACATGATTTGAACTATTATTTTGATGTTTTCATGCTGTGTTTAGGGTCTGGAGGTGGTTTAAATCATCGAGGAATGAAGAGGCTACACTTTTATAAAAATAAAAAAATATAAATAATTATACATTAAAATATATGTTTTATTTTTTTAAAAAAGATGGTGACAATAATATTAAAAATTTAATTTCTTGTAGCTAAGAAAATAATGTTCGATGAAGATAATGATAAAACTTATATAGACGTCATCAAAGGGCAGACATAACTCTTATATCTTTAACATTGAGAAAATACTATATAACTATGAAGTTCATAGCATAATTTATGAAAATATATGTTCATGGAATTTTCTCAAGCGTTACAAGCTGTACTTTTATTCCGATTAATATACACTTTATATTTTCATATGAACATAATGTAATGAAATTTATTGATTATTATACATTTTATATTTTCATATGAACAGCTTGTAACAAAATTTATTTTAAATTGTCAATACAAATATACATACCAACCAATTATAATGTATTTACATGTCTAACATCTAAACATCATTTTAATTTACATTTCTACCAGCCAAACCTTTCATATCACATAAGAAAAAAACAACATTATAACCTTTTATAAGTGAAATACATATTTTCATGCATTGATAAGGTAACATATACGATATGTAAGAATTAAAATTTAGCGGTTAGACATGTAAACACATAAGAAAGAGTGGTATAAATGTCAAACTTCAAAAACTTAAATCTACTGCAAACCAAATGTAATGAAAAATGGGAGACAAGAAGATAATATTTCTGCTAGAAAAAACAAAAAATTCACACGGTTCTGAACCAAGCAGTATTTCAAAGCAAGAATATGAATATTATATATATTTAAAACGAATCCTAGCAAATCAAATAGACAGCAGCCCCCTCTGCTTTCTGTCAAGACATAACTGAGTTCAAAAGATCTATGTAAGGGACACAAACAAACACAATCTTTACAGAAACTCTTCCAAGAAACAAATGGAAGCACACAGCTCAGGTAGAATAAAAAGTCCACTGCCTGCTTATCAAACTTAATCAGAGATAGAACAAACAAACAAGTAGACAGGAAAGAACAAAGAAAAAGCCTTATCATGGAACGACCCCAAGATCCTTGAAATACTCATGTTGAAGAGCCTGCCGAGCTGTGATTCTTTTACTGGGTTCCAATCGGAGCATTTTCTGAAACACGCATAAAATCTTGTTATGTTCTGTTGATTATAGATAAAATGCTGATATTGATGGCCATTTCTCGTATAGTGGGAGACGTTTTTCCGTTACAAATATGTTCATTCAATGATTATAATAGACTAATGAGCATATAATCTTGTCATGTTCCAGTTGGACTACCATTATTAAAAAGAATTATTGAAGAAGAATTCAGAAGGTTTTCTAGATTGTAGATTCGTTTTATCCGTAAAATTTATCTCAAAACAATCAATCAAAAGGTTGGATTACAGAATCCCCTTGCAGCTGCAACTTTTTTGGCTTGGGATATAGCATACTTCTTAATTATCAGGATGGTAAGAGAAAGAGGAAAAGCCTAGTTACTTACAGAAAGAAGATCAACTCCCGCAGGCTCAAGGTTTGGTACCACTGTTGCTAGGTCCTGCAGAATATAGCGTCCGTATAAGTTTATTTCAAACAATATGTATGTTATTTGCATGAGGGCAATTACTGCGCATATGCCAAAAAAATAATAATAATAAAGATTTTCATCATATTGGCCAGGGTGGAAGGCATTATCAGGCAATGATGGAGATGAAGGTTAGGGTGAAGTACAATAATGGAGTTAGAGGGAGGTGGTGGAGAGGGCTGGGAGACAAGTTAAGGCGCAGGGGAAGTTGTGAGGCTCATTGACGGCTTTAAATAAAATCAACATTTTGTAAGGGAGTTGCTGAATTAGAAAAATAGACACATTTTAAGCCCATACCTTAGAGGGCCACTTGGGGAAAGCAGATTTAAAGTCAGGCAAGGATGAAACACCTGGCCAAGTTTCTTCATTTGGGGTTCCTAAAACTCTACAAGAACACAGTTTCAACGAATTAGTGGATTTCATAAACTGCAGTCTGTAATTAAAAGTAATTAATTTGATTACTGAGCAGAACCTAAATATCTTGAACAATTCATCAATCTCTGAGTCTCCAGGAAACAATGGTCGCTGATTGACCATCTCAGCAAAAATACATCCAACTGACCACACATCCACTGGGGTAGAGTATTGTCGAGCTCCAAGGAGAATTTCTGGTGCTCTATACCAAAGTGTGACCACCTGAAAGATAATAAATGAGAGCTTAGTTACAAGGTAATTACCCGAAAGTGAGTTTCCTCGAGACCTATATATCATGCAAGCAAAGGGAAGATTTAGGTACATTCCACTAAATTCCTATTTATATACATATCGAACACTTAAACTTCAATTTTTACGTGCATACCATCTCACCTATGCATGAAAAACTGTATTGCATATATTTTTTTAAAGTTAAAATAGAGGTATTTTTTATGTGATAAGAAAGATTTAGGTGGTATAAATAAGAAGTAAATTTTAGAGGAAATGAGTGGTATGTATGTAAACGCTACAAAGCAAAGATGAAAGAAGCACCTCGTGTGTAAAAGTCCGAACAGGAATACCGAATGCACGGGCTAGTCCAAAGTCCGCAAGTTTCAAAGCATTAGTCCGCCGATCTATTAATAAGTTCTGTGGTTTCAGATCTCGGTGAAGAACCCTATGTGAATGGCAATAGGCAATGCCACGGAGAATCTGGAACAGGAAAGACTGCAAATAAAATAAAATAAAAAAGTTAAGCAAGCAAAGGGTCAGAATGATGGAATCTTAGGTCCCCAATAATTATTCTACCAATTCTACATTTCTTTGAGAGAATTCTACTTTGAGCATTCTGCTGTTTCTGAAGGTAGCCATCCAATCCCTGTAGATTGAAGTCTTAGCCATTCTGCTACGTCATTATAGTGTATGAAGCTCTACAAATGTAGGGTCTAAATACATTTTTTTATCAAAATGTAAACTCAAGAGAAAAATAAATTATCCACAACTGAGAAGAAGTCAAAAAAATTATGCGCGTCTTAACTTCAGAAAACTAAAAAAATATATAATCGCTAATATTCAAGACCCAACTGAAAGGGCTCAGATAAAGGCTCATAAATAGCAATAGGAAGGAATGAAGATATATCAACAAGAAAAAGAAAGACAAACAGATTTAAGAAGATAATTTTATGCTTCAAAATAGTTATTAAATGTGGATCACTACAGAGGAGCTGATGGAAAAAGCACAAAACATTCTTCTGACACAATCATCCAGCCATAGTTAATCATCCTAAAATCTAATAATTTTTTAGTAATTCATGTGTTCTTCAAAAGGAAAAAGGAATCTCACTTTCGTTAATCGTGGATCTTTGGCGAAGTCTGGACATGAATCCATGTGCTTCTTCAAGTCCAAGTCCAAATACTCAAAAACTAAGTATATTCGTTTCTCACTGTGCACAACATCTTGCAACCTGTTTAAATAAAGAGCATGTGACGTCACTGAAAGGAGAAATAACAGTTAAAACTATAATATAACATTTTTATATGACAGCAAACAAACACTCAATAGTCGCGATCAACAAAAGGGGCCAAAAATATCAATTGAAACATTATATAATTTGATTTCATGCTTATATTATAGTTAACTTCTATCTTTCAGCAAATGTTTTGGTAACATGGAAACTTTAAATAATAATTTATTTAAAAAGAGAAAAAAATTGCCCTCAAGTATAAGAGGACATAAAAGGAACCTCACATCAAGCTATTATTACCATGATTAATGAAATCAAAATAAAAAAGAACCTCACATCAAGCAAATTACCACTCAAAAATCAAGATAAAAAAATTGCCCTCAAGTATAAGAGGACATAAAAGGAACCTCACATCAAGCTATTATTACCATGATTAATGAAATCAAAATAAAAAAGAACCTCACATCAAGCAAATTACCACTCAAAAATCAAGATAAATAAAATGGGGCAAAAGTATCAAAGGAAACATTCTATAATTTGATTTCAAGCTTACAGTATAGTTAACTTCTATCTTTCAGCAAATGTTTTGGTAACATAGAAACTTCATATAATCATTTATTTAAAAAGAAAAAAAAATGCCCCAAAGTATAAGAGAGCATAAAAGGAACCTCACATCAAGCTATCATATAACTCATAACAATGAAATCCTACTCTAAATTGATTGCTATATTTAAATTAAATCTAAAAAATAGCCATCTACCTATTCTTATGTGATCAATTTAAACACAGAATATTACATTTCTCCAAATAGTCCCTTGAATGTACAAGATTGATCTAAAATGGTCGCTCATGCATAAATTATGATAAAAAAATGATCCTATTCTAATCCCTCAAATATACAAAATTAATCTCAATTCAGTTTGAAAAATAGTAAATTGTGAATGAATCGATTAATAAAAAGCTTTTAAATTTGGAAGAGAACTAAAACATGCCTCTAATGATTGATCTTTTATATTGCCTTTTTTATAATGTATATATTTTTTGCAACTTTTGCAACAAAATATTTATCATTAAATGAATTAGATTGCATGCTCCAACAACAACAACAACAACAACAACAACAACAATAATAATAATAATAATAAAGATGATTTTGTTGTGTCCAATACATGCTCATATTTTCAACAATGGATATGTCTATGTTTATCTTTGTATGGATGCATTATAGCTAGTGAAGTGTTGGCTAGAGAAGTGCCTAGCTTCAAGAATTGGATAGAAAGTAGAACACCTTATCTTGATTGAAGAGATGGGTGCTAGAATTTTAGATGTTGAGGATAGGGTGTCAAAAAAACTCGTCGTTCGCCAACAACTCGTGTTTGGTTCGCTATGAAACCCATGTTCTGTTGGTTTGATAAACAAATGACCCAAACATGAATAAATTTTTTGAGCCTAACACAAACAAAAATTGTTCGATCGTGTTCAGCTCGTTATTCTTCAAATCAATTAAATTTTAAAAAATTATTTATATATATATATATATATATATATATATATGTGGTTGTTCGCTCTGTATGTTGTGATCACTTCTTGTGACGTCGTCGTTGTCTTCCCCGGTGATGTTGTAACCCTGGCAGACGAAACAACCTCCACTGACGTTCGCTCGCTCGCTTGCTTGTGCTCGTCAATCTCCTCTGCGATCGTCGTCTTATCCGGCGGTTGTCTTCCCCTCAAGTTATAAGGAGAATCGTGATGGTACAGGTGACAACCCCTTTATTAAAAATGCAAGCAAAAAAAGTGGGAATGCAATACTAATTTTTTCTTAGTCAGAAATTTCAACTTTGACTGACAAATTCAAATTTTCTCTCGTTGGGAAATTTCAGTGGGACACCTGTCAGCCATTAAAATTTGGGAAAAAAGTATTTGATTTAATATAATATATATAATTTGTTTAATTTTAAAAATACGAGACCGAACCGATCTCATATAAACGATAGTTTAAATAAACGAGCACAATCCTACAAGTGACATATTTATCCCGAGAAATAGACATATCACTTATCCATGAGGCTTGATTAAATAAACTAAAGAATTTATGACATCCGTTTTAGTCTACGAACATTTATGTTGACCGACAAATTCCCTTATCCAATATTAAGAATTAGATAGGGTTTATATTACCTGGGTCCTTAAAACTCCCTACAGAAGCAAACCCTTATATTTAACTACCTCTTAAATGATTGAAATCACTTAAGAGCACTCTCGATGATGATCAGAGGTATCTATCTTCATGAATTCAAAGTTTGGGGTCTTCAAGATTGAATATAAAAAATTCAAGTGGGGAAGGAATCAAATGAGAACACTTATTTCTGGAGTCAAGGAAAAGAAAATGGATGTCATGGATCATGAGGCTAACCTCGGTGACTTCCAAAACTATCCTATTGTTTGACTTCAATTTCAAGAAGATATTATTTGATGTTTCATCCTGCCAATTTTATTATTTAGGACTTATATTTGCGTGTCATGGCAATACAAATAGTCTGGAAGATATGAGAGTTTATCTCGTATCAGATGACAACCTCGGAACCTAAAACGGGTTAGGGCTTAAATTGCACAACCTGACTGTGCAAAGACCTAAAAGATAAAGTAAGGATTTATGTCGCGCTAGACAGACTACCTCGAAATCTTATGATTTGTTATTTAAACTAGAGAAAGATATGTTGTTGAAGATCGTCATCCTCCACCTGTTGCTTTTCCGTCTTGCTGACCATGAAGACTTGTTCAAGCTTCAAGCTCCACGTCGTAGCACTTTCAGGTTTAATGTTGTGTTTAAATGTACATGCAATAGTTGGGTCTCAATGGCCCGATGTACCTCTAAACATATCTCCTACTGTTCTCTGCCCAAGGAGTTTAACAAGTGCATTAAAGCAAATAATGCAATAAAAAGAACAGCGAATTACAAAAAACTTAAACAAATTGCTAGAAATCCGACATAAAAAAATCATAATAATAAAAAAAACACAAACAGGTAAAACAAAACATGATGTCACGTATAAAGGGCCAGGAGCATGTGACTTATACGTGATATTGGGAATGTCCCCAATTGTCAGGAGGATTTGACTCCAGAAGGATTTGACTGTAAGACTCAAGCTCAAATCCCGGAACATTGGGTTTCAGGAGGATTTGACTGTAAGGCTCAAGCTCAAATCCCGGAGCATTGGGTTTCACTGTAGGTTAAGTCATGACGGGAATTTCACTACTTGATTTAATTAAAAGAAAGTTAGAAACCACATCTTCGTGCTCCTTATGTTTAGTGTTTTAATCGACTTGTGGAATAAAGTCAGGTGCTTAGTTTCATCACTCATTTAAAAATTAGGTAGAAAAACTCTCATCTAGGGTGTGCTTCTAAAGTTTAGAAAGTCTATGCCTCTAACTTGTGCTTGAAGTGATTTAAGGTGTTGTGTTTTTAATGAAGTATTTTTCAACTAATCCTCAAATAATTTTTAATTGTTTTCCAAATAATTAAATAAAAAATTCTCATTTTTGACTAGACCGTTATAATATAAAAACAAATCAACGGAGAATGAGGCCGACCAACTTCTAAAAAGAAATCAACAAAGCAAAGGGGCAAAATCGCAAGTATATAGGCCTAAAAGCGTTTAAATTCTTTCAAAATAATGATCAAATCATTCCCAAAATGTGCATAAAAGCCTCCAAAAATTAGCACTTAAAGTGCCTTATATCGATGTATAAAAGCCCCCTCTAAATCTTCCAAAACAAGTGCCAAAATGCCAACAAAATTTCTCCCAAACAAATGCTCGAGCAATTATAAAAAAGTCCACAAAACATTCAAATAGCCTTTAAAAGAATTTAAAGATACAACTTGAAGCTGGCGTTCAATTAAATATCCAATCATCTTAAAGCATTTTAAACACAACATTATAACATAAGAGTATATGCTCGACAAAAAGAAACCCAACAAATGTAATTCCAACAATACAAAAATAAATCCAACAAAAGAAATGTATCCAACAACTGAAAAAGAGTTCAGCCGTAGAGCCCGACTTTAGTAATGATAAGTAGAATTCCCATTGAAAGCAAGTTTCGTATGCAGCTAAGAAAAATAATAACAGATTTACATGTATGCCACCCAAATTCATAAAGATTTAGAGGAAGAAAACTGAAATTCATGTGTTAGAAATGTAAATTCATAGGAATCAAATATTTCATATGTAAACGCCCGGAAATTTAGTGGTATGAATGTAAAGATTAAGTTTAGATGTTAAATATGTAAATGCAAGGGCATTAAGTAGTATGTATGTAAATCTCCCTTAATTTATTAAAACCAGGCAAGCAACATATTTATTTCAGAATTCAGAACTGATCGAATTGCTTCTTGTATATGTAAATCCCGGTTTTATGCACATAACACACTAAAAAAATTTATTGAATAGCGAAGTCATATCTGCTAGATAGTAAACGCCATAAAGAGAGTATTCCTTTGTAATATCAACACTAGCCAACATACAGGTTGGTAAAAAAATCTTTCTTCAACTTTGACTGCCTTTGTCTTATTAAAAAAAAAAGGAACAGATAACCCATAATAACAACGTCTGTTAAGAACTGAGTGCTCAGCCATTATAAATATGTATGCAGCAAGGTGTCAAGCAAAACAAGTGAGAAAAATGGGCAACCAAGCAAAGATATCGAGCAACCAGGCGAAGCAAGCTAACTGCAAAAAAGTCGGAATAACGGGAGAGATTACCTGCTCGATAACAACAACCGAAGTTTCGACAGCCAACAACGACAATCACAACTCCTCCCCAAAAATTCCACGACCAACAACAAAATCTGCCCCCCTCTCCAAAATTTCAACAACCTCTTCTCGTCTCTCAGGCTTTACCCAAGAGAAAACAGAACTCCAAAATGACAGCATCTCCCCTCTCCAGAAATTTCGGCCAACCCTAAAACCCTTCCCCAATTAAGGTTTTTAAAGCAAAGGG